AAAGACACAACTTAGACTCACTGCCACCACATTGATTCCTACTCATAGCAACACTACATGACAGAAAAATCTACCACTTTGTGTTTCTGAAGCTATACATCTTAATAGGAGCAGAAAGCCTCAACTTTCTCCCATGGAACAGCTGGTGGGTTTAAACCACTGACCTTGAAGTTAGTTGTAACACACTGAGGCACCAGGGCTTTTATTAAAGACCAAGATAATCTTTAAATCTGGGCTCCAAGTCTCTAGCTTTCTGTCTGGGCTCAGCCCAATCCATTCTCCCACAGTACCCAAAGTCACCTTTCTGAAACAATCTGATCATGCTACTTCTCTCCTTTGAAAATTCAAAGTGCCCTCCCAGCTATACGATACAGTGTTACGTTTAGAACATGGCCAACTCTCATGACTGAGCCTGTCTTCCACACCCACCTCATCTTTCTTACACTTCACATTTCAGCCATATTGACTCTTGGTGCTTCTGATATCGGTCATGTTTCCTCTTCCTATTCTCATGTGCTATTGAGTCAAAAGAACCATCCTTCAATATGTCCCTTGAGTCTGTGTCACGTGCACCCAACTCTCCTACAGCTTTATGTCTGAGCATGGATCTCATTTCTTCAGCGACGTTTTCCCTGACACACTCGGTTTGGGAGTTGAGAGTCCTTCTGTGCTCACCACATCCTTAACTTGTCCAATTAAAGCACACACTCCGAATTGCTTGCCTACTTATTCATATTTCTCTCCAGACTGTAAGCTCTGTGGGGACACAGATCAGTGCTCGTCATCCTGCAGTCAGTAAGTGGCTGGTTGACTGTCTGACTGAATAATGGATGAAACATTTTGCAATTAACCAGGAACACTTGAGTCATCTTAAAACTCTGGGGATCGCGCTGGGGATTTCTTAAGAAATTCCACAATTATTATTTGGCTTTCAGTCCTTGGGAATCTTGCGTTTTGGGCAAGAGAATGTCTTTTAACCAGTTCAGAAGACCTGGTTGGCAACAAAAATAGAGGCGCACAAGGAACTCATTGTCATGGGACGTATGAAACCTTTTCCCCATCAGAAAGGAACCTGGGAAGTCCTAGAACAATAGACCCAGAGGTTAATACTGGAAGGATTTAATTATGGCTAAAATGAATAGTGATGGGGGCCAGCTGAACGCACACACTGTCAATTTCGTAGCAAGCTAGAAGCAACTTTCTATCAATTACTCTTTATACGCCCCTCAGTTGGCCCAGTCGCTCTGAAGATGGGATTCTGCTCTGATATGGTCTCATCTAGGAAGACTTCCTGGATCTCTTTTTCTACCTTACCACTTTGTCCATCACTCTTGGCTCAACTGGAGTTCCTCTGGTCTGTGTTCTTTGCAAATAACATGCTCCCACTACACCTTCTTCTCTCCTGGGGGATCTTTTTTTTAATCGTTTTATTAGGAGCTCATACAACTCTTATCACAATCCATACATACATCAGTTGTGTAAAGCACATTTGTACATTCATTGCCCTCATCATTCTCAAAACATTTCCTCTCCACTTAAGCCCCCGGCATTAGGTCCTCATTTTTCCCCTCCCTCCCCGCTCCCCGACCCCCCATGAGCCCTTGATAATTTATAAATTATTCTTTAGTCATATCTTGCCCTGTCCGATGTCTCCCTTCACCCACTTTTCTGTTGTCCGTACCCCAGGGAGGGGGTCACATATAGTTCCTTGTAATCGGTTCCCTCTTTCCAACCCACTCTCCCTCTACCCTCCCAGTATCGCCACTCACACCACTGGTCCTGAAGGAATCATCTGCCCTGGATTCCCTGTGTTTCCAGTTCCTATCTGTACCAGTGTACATCCTCTGGTCTAGCCAGACTTGCAAGGTAGAATTCAGATCATGATCGTGGGGGCGGGGAGGAAGCATTTAGGAACTAGAGGAAAGTTGTATTTTTCATCGTTGCTACATCGCACCCTGACTGGCTCGTCTCCTCCCTGAGACCCCTCTGCAAGGGGATCTCCAGTGACCTACAAATGGGCTTTGGGTCTCCACTCCTCTCCTGGGGGATCTTTAAGAGCAAACAAAGACCGAGTCTGTTTGACCTCAGTCTCCCAGAGGACCTACAGTACAGGATCAGGCACACAGCAACGAGTCTATAAATGCTTGATGACTTTAGACAAAATGTTTGACTCTTTGAATGCCAACGTCATGTTAAGGAAGACAGGGAAAACTGGAGAACTGTTCTAGATTAAATGTAACCACAGAGACATATCAGCTAGATGCAGTGAATAATCCTTCACTGGATCCTGGGTTAGGGAGAAAAAAACCAGCTATAATGGACATTGTTGGGATTATTGAACTAATTTGAATACAGACAGTATTTTAGCTATTAGTACTTTATGTTAAATTTCTTAAGTGTGCCTGTTGTGTTTGGAGATAACTATAAACATATTTAGGGAAAAAGCTCCTCACCTGCAATTAACTCTCAAATAGGCTAGTAAATAACAACAAAAAAATACATATATTTAAAAATATATAGATATAAAAAACCACAACTCCCCAAACCAATCAAATTCATTGTCATCAAGTCCATTCTGATTCACAGTGGCCCTACAGGGTAGAACTGCCCTGTGGATCTCTGATACTGTAACTCTTCACAGAAGTGGAAAGACTTGTCTTTCTCCTGTGGAGTGGCTATTGGTTTCAAACTGCTAGACTCGTAACTCACTATCCTACCAGGGCCTCTTCTATGGATACAAAGGTATGTACATTTTCACTTAAAAAGGAGATAAAATAAATATGGTGAAAAGTCAGCAAGTGGTAAATCTAGGTGAAGAGTACATGGTTGTTCATTGTACTGTTTGCAAATTTTCTATATATTTGAAGATATTCAAAATAAAACAGAGAAGCAGTACTCAAGATGTAGATAAGGAAATTTAGTGAGATATGCAACCTACCTAAGCTTGTGGTGACTACCTGCTATAGTGGGTAGGCATGGTCACTAGGGTTAAGCTGTGAGTGGCAGGGGAGAAAGGCTGGCGGGAAAGTAGAGGCTGCAGGAAGCCCCAGATAACAGAAGTGGTATCTTCGAATGTCAATCTGGTAAAGTGTGTAGCCAGGCAGAAGGGCAGGAGTAAAAAAACACCAGACCCAAAGGGCAAAGTAAAAGAGCTTTGTACAGGTCAACTCTGCACAAATCAAAGTGACGCAGCAAATGTTAAATAGTCAGGGGTGAGGGGTGGGGGTGGGGTGTGTGCAAAGGATCCATAGGGAGGGCAGGTAGGTAGGCAAGCAGTGAAACAAGGAGCTCCGAGGCGTTAAGACATTTAGGTAAGGCTCTGGCTTGTCTGGGCAAAGTGAGTACATTCATTTCATGGCAGCAAATGGAAGCTAGGATGAGAGCAGTAAATTGCTGAGCACCCATGATAAGAAACGAGCCGGACAGAGCACAGGAAGGTGCAGAGAATTAGCTGCATTTGTCTGAAAATGCGGGGAGGAGAGTGTAGCAGCCACTGGCAGAATCTGATACCTGAGGCTTTGTGTCGGGCAGAGGTGGTGAGGCAAGGAGGAAGACAACTCCCTGGGAAGGCCATGCCCAGCCCTAAACTACCTTCCTGATTGTAGGCCCACAGGGCACATCTCTACCAGCCTCTGAATGCAGCCACCAGGATCTTTCTCAGTTCTCAAGGAGAGCAGGTCACGTGAGTACTCTGCGTTTCTGTCTCTCTGAGAAATCTCTCTACACGAGTAGCTTCACTCATGGCCATGCTACCCCTTGTGGAGTGGCAGGAAGCCTAGCTTTCAGTGGAGCGGTGCCGAGTGGAGTTTCTGAACGCCAGTAGCAGAGGGCATTTCAAGCTTGCCCTTATCTGCACCAGCTCCATCATATCCACTTCAGACTCTCAGAGAAACATTCTAATTGCCAGTGAGAATGCCTCTGTCTATCCCCAGAGATTCTGGAAAGCAACCCAGAGCAGATGAGGTGCAGAGGCACCTCGGAAGAAAATATGAGTCAGGGAGCTTTACAGGTAGGCTGCAGGCACCAGACAGATGGATCTTCACAGAAGAGTATTTGAATCTGCCCTGTATACAAGTCACATGGGTGCAGAGTATAGATGGAGGTGGGGACTAGGGAAGTGGGCACTTCTATGAGCACACTCTTTAGAAGTAGTACTTTTATTGAAAGTGATTCTAGTAAGCCTACAATGAAAGGACAGCAAGGAAGGTGGTGTTGGAGCAAAGCCTGGGAGAAGAGAGTCATACCAGTGCCCTTCCCCACGAGCGCTGCCCCATTAACAGACAGTACAACCTGTCCGTCCCTCTGGACTCTTTAAAAAGGCTCTCTCCTCCCTCCTAACAATGACCTACCTCACTAGTTCAGTGTCCAGCTCTCCTTCCCTTTCTGCCGCGCTGTGTCCTGGGCTCCAGGTCAGAGATGCGAAGTTCCATTCACTCTAACCTCTTTCGGAAGTGCTTAGTCACTGATCCGGCCACGTGGCGCCCGCTTTCCCATTGTGGGTCTGATATGTTAACTCAGAAAGTTATTTTCCAGCCCTCCAGTTAGAAACAGCAGGAACTTGAATTGACTTGCTAGACTGGCAGTGCTAGAAGATTTAGGGCCATGTGCCAAAGGAAACAGTGGATGGCCAATCACCAGGGAGCACATTTCTCAATCTGTAGCTTGACACTAAAACTTCCTGCTGGCAAGGGAGGTCTATGCTGGGCCTTTGCTGCCAGATTCACATTTGGAGGTGCACTGTGCCTTCGTGGTGGCTCCACAAGCAATTTGAAGCACAGAAGGAGAACTGCTAACTGCCTTTTCCTAGGGGAAGGCTTCATAGGGAAACAAAATCCCCAACAAAGAGTTAAGAGGAGAATGAAAAGTCTCAGATGTGGTAGAGTTAAGGAACTGAAAACCAGATGCCTGGATAGCAGGTCTGAGGCTGGCCTTGGGCCCGCCCTTAGTTTGCTATCCCAGCCCCACCACCCCCTTAGCCCAGGCCCCATTCCAGCTCCTACCTGGTAGGTACCTGTCGTGGCTGTGGCTGTACTCTGTGGCCGTGAGTGACAAGTGAGTCGTCTGTGTAAAAGGCTGGTTGCCAAACAGATTGTCACTACGAAGATTGTGGCAGAGCTTCTCCAGGAAGCGGAGGACGTAGGTGATGCTGTTGACCGCTGGGAGGTTGCGGGTGTGCTGCTCTCGGTCAAACACGGCTGCGGAATAAGTGAACACGGCTGGGCACACCTGCCAGCAGCAGTGGGCAGGAGTCTAGCCCACTACTTGCTACAGGTTTTCCTGGGTTGCGTAAAGTCAGTCAGTGACTTAGGCTTCCTCCTTGACTCCCTCCTTTGAGGGTTTTGGTTTTTTCCTTTAATGCCAAAGGTGCCTCGGCTTGTAATAATAGATCTGGTCAGGCCAGATTTGTGGCACCCTGGGCTCTGGAATGATTTCACGCCAACTGTGAAAACAACTGTGAACATAATTTTATCTTTTCTATCACTGGGCTGGGACTTGTCCGGGAAGTCTATTCATTTAAGGTGCCATTTCTACCAGGAGTGCACAAGACCAGAGAATCTAGGCAGAATGCAAAATACAGCATTCCCAACAAAGATTTGGGTTCATAATTTCCAAATGGTATAAGGGCAGTAGACTTTTGGCCACATTTGGAACTGTTCCATGTTTGGTTTTATCTTACTCCGTTATCTATTTATATTGAAAAGGCATCAGAAAAATCGGCGAGGCAAAGACCTATGTATTTTTCCCTGAGAGCAGCCAAAAGTGGGGAGGTTCCCTCAGGAACAAATTCTGGAGAGGTGACAGCATTTAGAAAGAGGTAGTAAAGAAAGCCATGTCCCTACAGATTGCTGCATAGTAAGAGAGACCATGGGTAGTCTGAGTATGAGAAGGGCCTTAGGACAGATTAGTCACCAGTGGTTCCCAACATTCCTCTCTGCCTGCTTCTACCTGGCAACAAGCTAATACTCCCTTCTCTGGGCCCCCAGACTACCATAGCCTGTTATAGAGTAAGGGTTTTCTGGATATTTGCTACAAGGATACAGCTTGGTTATTTATGGGGTCTGCCAGGTCAGCTGGGTCTTCTAAGACTGGACCCTGCAACTTCCTAGAAAAATTGGGCAGGGGAGTATGGCACAGAGTAAGATGCAAAAGCTGTTGGTCAGTCTTCACATGTTTGGTGGGTACAGAATAGGGTTTTGGACTTGAGAAAACAGATACAGAATCATGGTGCGACAGGAAAGTGCAAACAAAACAACTGCACAGCTGAATCAAAGACCCATAGCAAGAAGAGAGAAGGAATGAGCAATTCTTCCTTCCCTGCCTGGGATTCAATTCCTTTGTATCAGGGCTGGCTGAGGACTGGGAAGCTCCCTAAAGCCATGTGGGAGGCAGTCTGGAGGAACTGTCTTGCTATTACAATTGAGCCCCCCTCTTGAGCCTATCTCCTGGGATCCAGAAGGAACACATGCATAGATTTTCTGTATGGGAGAGGCTGAGCAGATGGGACAGGAGGCCATGTAGAGGCCCAGTAGAGCAGAGTCTGTGTGGGTATGCTACTTGGCAGAGGTAATGCATGAGACTTGGAGAGGCCCTGATGCTGAAGGTGGAGAATGAGCAATGGAGTATTCACTTCCACTTTCCTTTAGTCTATAGGTGTGATGCAGGAACCAGGGTGCACTGCCAGAAACCAGCCATTTGAGAAGGCCGGGCCTTCTGACTAGGTGGCTGTGACCAGTCCCAGGGTACTTACCTGAGATAACTTCACCGCCGTGGCCCTGTTTGAGGAAGCTGAAGACCGTTTTCTGGTGGTAAGCACAGTCGATGCAAGCCTGGACAGCTTGCTGCAACACCACAGAGGCGCGGGCTGGCCCGAAATGGTCAGGGAGTTGCTGGACCTTCTTCTTATCTAAGTGAGGGCCTGGGCTGCCGTTCTTGTTCAAATAAATACACACTGCAGAAGACAAAGAACCAAAGATGCTTAAAGCGTCTCGGGGCTAGAGAAATCAGAGAACAATGCTCTCTCTTGGCATTTACTCACTGGTCTCTGGTCTCTAGCAGGATCCCCAGCTGCTAAGCTGGTGAAATGTAGGAGGTGGAGGGTGGAGGCCAAGAAAAGGCTGTGCCCAGCTGCTGCCAGCCTACACTGTATGATCAACAGCTCTGGAAACACTGCCTACTGGACAACAGCCCAGATCAAAAGCCAAGGACAAAGCATACAATGTCTTTTCTGTGACAGAGAAGAGAAGCTACATAATTCCCCAATTGCATGTCCTTTTATATTCTCTACTTGGTTGTCTCACATGTTCTTTTCCTCTCTCTCACCGAATATGTGGGAAGGAGCTGTGGAGCCATGGCGATATTCTTGTGTGTGTGCGGGGGCATTGGATGTAGATGGTCATATTTCTGGGGAACATACTTTTACTTTCTGTTCTGGTCTCGGAGTCCCTTTGTACATCAATGTTTAGGCCTGAATATAGAAAAAGATTGAAATTAAAAAATGAAGGGTAGGTCTCATCTATATATTTGTTTTTTTCAGAGGTTACTACTGTTCACACAGCTGGCCACGCCTTGTTGCCACGCTCCGCCTGGTTCTGTGGAAAGGTCGAGGGCAGAGTGAGCACTGGAAAGAGGGACTCTGAAACAGGTGTTCCTTTGGTGTTTAGAGGGAATCCACGGCAGCCTGGTCAGCAATAGCGTTCTCTCCCCGATCTGCCTTGCAGGCTCCCACTTGAGAAGGGGGTTTACTCTTCTTTCTTCTAGGGTGTGGCTCGCTAACTGAAGTCGGGGAAGGAAGGCCACAATCGCTTGTTACTAAAGGGAAAACGAGGTCAGAGCAGCATCTGTGTGGGCTGAGGATGAACTGCTGGCCTCCTTGAGGCCTATCTAGAAAACAAGGGGCTGAGCCGGATGCGCAGAGAACTCTTTGGCCTTCCCTACCCTAATTCTAGAGGGACACGGCATGAAGAGAGGAAAACAGAAAAGATGGTGGGTGGTGTGGAGGAGCACAGGGAAAAAGAAGGAGGGAAAGGAAAGGGTAATGATGAATGGAATGTATACATTTAACTGTCCTCTTCTGAAATTCACTAAGATGATGGGGCGACAACATGACAGGGACAACAGGATGCTGGAAGTTGGAAAAGTAGCAACTGAATTAGCAGACCCAAGAAAGATGGATCTTAAATCATCAATGAACAAAGTAGTTTTATACAACACCCAGGCACTGACAGACTAGGTTCCTGTGCAGGTGAGTCTAATAAATGAAACAGAATTTCCATGTATGGTAACATGACTCTTGTATTGAAAACAAGTAAAAATGCAAGAACTCAGTGAGATAAAAGGGTAATGAAAATAAATGGAAACATATGTATATAACAAGACACTTTAAAGAATGTTTGTATCTGTTTATTCATAACCGCCCCAAACTAAAACCAGCCCAAATGTCCACCAACAAGGAAATAGATAAATACATTGTAGTATATTCATTTAATAGAACACCAACTTAGAGACAAAGGGAGGCACAATAGATACTTCTCAAAGATACTAAGTGAAAGACAACCAGACACAAAAGTGTATACATAATATGACTCCGTTTAAGTAATTTCAAAAACAACAACGATAAAAGAATCTATGGTGACAGAAGTCAGCATAAAGGGGGGAGTAGAAACTGACTAAAAGGCATGAGGGAACTTCTGTGAATGACAGAAACATCCTAGATCTTGGTTGATTATGGTTGCATGAGTTTACATTTATTAAAGCACGTCAAATTTGTGTGCTTAATATTGGCTCATTTCAGTACATGTAAATTTTGTTTCAATTAAACAAATATACAAGACAGAAAAATATAACTAGTCCAGTGATAACTAAAAAGAAAAATTCTACATGGACTGAAGAGTAAAATATTAAAGGTAAAAATTGTGGTGATGACTACACAACTGTTATGTTTACAACATTAACATGTATGATGTATGAGAATTATTTGTCAATAAAACTATTTTTTAAATTTATATTTTCTTACTGACACTAAAATAAGTACTAAGTAAATACATAAAGTTTCAACACATGGCCCCCAAATTCTTTGACAGTCCTCTCACCAAGCTCTGTGACACCTGACCAATAGATTGTGGTAGACATGATGCTATGGGTCTAGCATTGACAAAAGGGCAGTTTAAACGCTGAGTGAAGCAGTACAAGTCACCCTGCGCAAAGGTCCATGTGGAAAGAAACCAACTTGTCAGCCACACAGTGGACATGGATCCTCCTGTCCAAATTAAGCCACTACAATCGTCACAACACAGAACAGACTAGCTGTTTCTGTCCATTTTGTCCACTGTTGACTACAGCCACGAGGCTTAGTTTGTTTGTTACATAGCAAAAATGATTGGAACAGATCTGGTGCTGCAGTAACAAAACCTAACACACGAGTTTGGGGGCAGATCAGGACACAATCCAGACATCATATAGTTCAGTCATATCAAGAAGTGTTGTACAATTGCTGCCACAATCAGTTTTAGAACATTTTCTTTCTTCTTGTTAGTAGTTCCTCATTTCTTCCCAACCTCTTGCCCTCCATCCCAGGAGCCCTTAATGCACTTATTGTCTCCACAGAGACATCCTGGGTTTCACGAACAGAAAAACAGAAAATTACGTAACAGAGAGCTGAGAAGGCTACTCACGTTAACAAAATACAACAGAGATAAACAACAGTTTGGAAGAAAACAAGTATTAAAAAGTAGAGCAAACGGAAAACGTGTCAGAAGAGAGCCTATGGTAAGGCACTGGGAAGACCTTTAGAAGGACGAGAGAAGCTTAAAGGGCCTCTAGCAGGCGGTGAGGACTTGGAGGGAACTGACCAAAATTCTCAGCGTAGGGTTGATAAGTGGTGGTGGTATTAGGTGCCAGTAAGTCAGTTACGACCCACAGAGACCCTAAGCACAACAGAAAGAAATCCTGCCCGGTACTGCGTCATCCTCACAATTATTGTGCTTGAGCCATCAAAGTGACAATCCATCTCGCTGAGGGCCTTCCTCTTTTTCGTACTTTACCAAGTATGATGTCCTTCTCCAGGGACTGGTCTCTCCTGACAACCTGTCCAAAGTATGTAAGATGAAGCCTCACCATCCTTGCCTCTGAGCAGCACTCTGGCCGTACTTGTTAGACAGTGACAGAAGAT